ATAATCAGTAAACATTTTTAATTTATTTTACTCCGAATGATAATATAGCAGATTTTAGCCGACTTGTGTATAATATTGTAATAAAATTACATTTCAACTCTTATAACAATAATTGAGAAAATTAAATGTATTTTTATTGCACTCGCGTAGGTACACTTATAATTTCCATGATTTGGAATGAAGAAATTAGATTAACTCTTACATTTTTGAAAATATTTTCGTTAAATTGAATTATGCGCATAATTTTAAAGAACATCTTTTGGTCATGGGTTGGTTAAAAATGATCTGGTATCAAGTGAGATACAGAGCACAAAATACATCTAATTAAAAAAAATATATGCTTTGTAAGAAGGACCTGTTTAGTAATTTAAAAAAATTGTATACAACGAAAGGGTTCTACTTCATTAAACCTGCAGTGAAATAAACAATTTGTATGAGTATTAGCAGTCTTGTGAAGAACTCGAACAAAAGTATTTAAATACTTTTTGAGTAAGTACTTAAAAATTAAAATACGTATTTTTTAAATACTTTTGGAAAAAGTATTTGGACAAAGTACTTTGATTACTTTCTAATAGTATCTGAATTTAAAATAAAATACTAATTTACAAATACTTTAGTTTATACATTTTATATTTTTAATTCAATAATGTAAAATAAATATAAAAACTACGAATATAATAATATATATTTTTTTATATGACATATACCCAACCAAAAATTAAAATACTTTGACAAAGAAAATAGATGAGTAATTTATAGTTGCACCAAATGAAACAGTGTAAGGTGCATTATAAAATTAATGTAAAGCATGAAAAAGCCCAAACAAATTAGTTCAATGTAGGTATCAGTATTTATGCTCCAATAAGATTTTAAATACTTTTCAAAACAATCATTTGTATCTGTACTTTAATACATTTAAAAAGTATCTTTCACAAGACTGAATATTAGGAATGTTAGGACGAAATAAACATTCTAACTGGGTATATTTATTTTTAGCTCTATCTTATTCAAATTCATAAAAGTTAGTTTTCAGGTTAACTTTATAATTTATAATGGTTACATTTAACTACAGTTTTTATTAATGCATGACCAATTCTATTTTACCGCTATAGCAATGATTTAAATTTGTACATCAATTTAGGAAATAAAACTATTCGTTTTTAGGGCCATATATTTAAATATTACAAAAACAAGTACACATAGATCCGAATATAGTATGGTAATTAGTTAGTAATGAATCAATCAAGGTAGTGTTATGTATAATTAGAATGTTGGATTGCAAGGAATTTCTTGTAAGAATAGTAAGACAGGCAATACAAGTTCTGTTATATTGAAGAGTATAACTTTCGTTGATCTTATTCAGTATAATACTGCACAAGTGGCGCACAACGGAATAACTTGAAAATAATAATAAAAAAATACAAGAAGTGCGCTTTAACAAAATTGAATTTACGAACGAAAACATATAATATATATAATGTGTATCATGTATAAGAGAGAAAAAAATATGACTTTTGTGATCTCGTTTTTTATCAAAGTCTTTTTCGCACTCATCCGGAAATTTACGACTATTATGTCAATCGTCGCATACTTAAACAGTATAATAACGAGCAAGCGTTAAGAGCTTGTTTATCGTGGCCAAACGGTGGAATTCGACTGCTGTTCGGGATCGTAAAAATACATTTTTACGCTCGGGCTCGTTGTTTAATTATTATTTTTACAAAATTTATCATTATTGTTTGACCATCGTCCAAAGTCGTAGTGAGAGCGTTTCATTTCAAACCAACCTATAGACGGATAGAAGAGACCCGGCCGGAACGTTTCCTGCAAATGTTTAATATTAAAAATTATAATATTAGAGCCCTTCCAAATGGGGATTATAGAAGTGAAACGTCGATCTGCAGTACATATAAGTTCTGTAGACTATAGGGTGAAGGGTTGGCATTAATGGGTTGAAAAAGGTAATGTTAGGTAAGTTACTTGTGACTTTGTAAAATAATTATTATAGATACTATATTGTAGACTGTCAAACATTGGCATACAACTAAGGGGGAGGGGGTGTAAGAGCCCCATGGGTTATTTTGAATTTTAGTGTTCTAGGACCCCTATACTTAACAATAAAATCTTATAGTTACGCTCATGCTGTCGAATTGTCGGAATGTTGAATGCACTGTTATTGTATAGCAATATTAATCAAAATAACGTATGTAAATACAACTTGACATAAACTTCCATGGAAAATTACAATCTCGCCCGAGTCCTAAACACATACATTTCAAAACTCTCAACAATAACACTGCGTAAAAGCCAAGTGTGTTGTTTGAAGAAAAGTTTATGTCATGACCTCTTAAAAAATAAAACTATTCATAAAATTAACCTAATTAATTAATAATGTCTGTTAGTAGGGTTCCACCATTGAATCGCCTTAAGTTCTATTTATTTTTTTTGTTGGCGATTGCCTTAATTAAATAATCAAATCATTAACTACTATCATATTTATGTTAGTTGACTTTTATCAAATTGTTTTAGAGTTCGGATATAGATTTTAAAATATAAACAGCTTAGAAATTAAAATAAGCCGATTTTTAAATAAATCAAGGAATTTTCTTATTTCACTCAACAAGTAATGTAACTTTTACCTTTAAATTAAACTTAAATTTATTTATAGAAACTTGGAGAGTTTTTAGCTTTTGTGAACTTGCACGACCATACTTATACTACAATTGCAGAGTGTACACTGCACATGTTATTTGCGATAATTTCATCGGAATCGCGTTGCACTCGAACTCAGAATTATTTGGTTCTTTTACCAATTTTCACTACCTGTGTGGTGATGGAAATATATGGGCACAGAAGGTTAAAAAAAAAAGTGTGTCACATTCGACTGTATTTATATCCCATAATATACAACCACTGACGGAGAATGAATCGAATTTCGAAGGGGAGGGGGCGCGCATAAGTGTTTTAAGTTGCGGCGCGCTTTATCGAAGTACCTACCTATTGGAATACCCAACATCGTTATTAATTTTTTTTCTCGAAAACCCAATAAAAACCGTATTTCTTCAAGCACCCGAGCTCGGTCGATCGAAATACATATCATAAAATCATTGCAACAATTACCTGGTTTTGAATCTGATTCGGCGGCTTCGTACAGGTGTCGCACCGATACGATAGTGTTCGGTCTCAGTCGGTTCCACGCGCACTGGCGTACATGCGTTGTCTGCACGACTGCCGTTATCCGTAAACAAATATTTGACAACATACGCGTTATCATGTTATGTTTGTAGTGTCGTCCGAAACGCGGACAGGTCGCGGACCCCTAGGGCACAGGAGAAAATCATTCCGTCAATATTATATTTCGGTAATGAGTATTTTTCGCTTGTTCAAATGTTTGCATTGCTCAGAAAAATATTATAAACTCGTAAGTAGAGTATTTGTCGTTGCCTATGCGTTACCCCTTGCAAACGGTCTGATTTTCGTTCTTCCGACATCAATATATTTATATTTATTTATTCACGGGCGGAGCCCTATATTAATATAGTTATTAATATAATATAATATTACCAGGTTAGCTGATATTGTACTCAAAGCAAGCGGAAGTAGGTAATTCTTCGGTACACAAGTCTGTAAATGGTATATAATTTTGAAGAGAGGGACGGAATCGTAAAAACAGAACAAAACGACTCATAATAATATAAACACAAACATTTTATTGTTATTATTCCTCTATAAATCCAAACGTAAAAATACACACAATAACGAGACGATACATTATTTTTCTCGATATTATATTATAATATTATTATTATTAAACGGTAATAAATATATATATATGAATCCAACATCTGCACATGTGTTTTTTTCAAAATGACATTGAAACATTAGATTTAATAATTTTGAAGTGTTTATATAAATAAATAGAAAAAAAAATCGTATAAATGTGTGTAAAAACGAAAAAATCAATTAAAAAAAAATATTTCAAGTAGGTATATAATAATATAGGTAATAATATTATAACATTATAATATATGGGTAGTAATAACATAACACGGCTTTCGGCGGAGTTGCGCTCTCGTCGCGCGGCGGAAGTGCAGGTCACTTGATTTTTTTTTAACGTTAGAACAAAGTTTGTGTTTCATCGTTTATAAATTTGATACAGCAATAATAATTATTATAATAATATAGTTCGTTCGATCTGAATGACGCGTATAATATAATAAAATATAAAATGCACAATGCGTAGGCGGAATATTATTATGACTGGCGTTAATGATTGTACTATGCCCGTTGCGTGCGATGGTTCGTAGGTTATGATGGTCGATAATGTTATAACAATATTATTAAATATATAATATGTATGGTAATAATAATATAAATTGTATATGAGTATTATATTACACTGCATTGCATTTGCGTACTGTACATTTTTGTGAAACTGATTATTTACAAATACTAATACATCGAGCGGCAGCAGCTATTCGCACAACTAGAGGCCGTGATCTTATAATAGGAACACGCTTAAAGATTATTTACATCAAATCATTTATATCATGATAATATGATAATATTATATAATATAAATATATATAAAAAACAAACAAACAATAAGTAAACAATAATCATAGTACGGTTAAAAATATGTTATTGGTCTTGCGACAAAACGTTAAAAATTATAGCATCAGGATATATTAAATATTAATGCGTGGCAATTTTTTCTTCCGTTACTCGTAATATTGATTTTATATATTATATACATACATCGTATATAAAGAGTTTATACGCTACACTAGCTACTACAACAACTATAAATTATTTACGCAGTTGAAGCCGAAACATAAACAAAACGCATGTGACTGAAATAAAATACAAAACACTAATATAATAATATGATATTATTCTACAGACGTTAATATGGCAACAAAAATACAATAATAATAATAATAATAAAATAAGTAATAAACTAGTGCCGAAATACTGAGTAAAAACTTATTTTTAAAAAAGGATAAAAATATTATATTAATAGAACGGCGTGGGGGTGTGTATTATATTATAATATTTAGCGTAAAATGATAATAAAAATAATAATATGTATTATGATGATGGGAAAGGCGCGGCGGCGTATTGGTATCACTCGTTCAGAAGAACCTGTGGTACCACTGGGTCGGGGGCGGAGGGCCAACCGTCGTGGTCGACGTGGTTTTCGGAAGTCTAGACCCGAATTCCCAGAGCCGGACGTCCTGTTTCTGCTGTGGTAGGTGATGCTGTAGCCGATGCTGTTGCTGCACGGAGTCGTCAAACTGCTGCTGTTGCTGTTGTTGTTGCTGCTGTTGTTGTTGTTGATCCGGCCAACCCGTCGGCCACCACGTGGGATGCCTGCTGCTCTCGTACATCTTGTTGGTGGTCCTGTACGGGGCTGGTCCTGGGAACCTGATCAGGTTCGCGCTGTCCGCCTGCATCGTCGCCGAAGCCGGGTCTTCGTCCCCTGGGAACCGGACTTGCACGCCCCCGCCGCCGGCAGCCGGACGCTTGACCAGTGCGGTGGCCATGTGGTTGTACTGCTGCTGTTGGTGATAGAACTGTTGCTGCTGTTGCTGGTACAACTGTTGCTGCTGTTGGTGTTGCTGGAGCCGTTGTTGCTGTTGTTGGAGCTGCTCGAACTGCTGCTGCTGCCGGAAACCCGCGCACACCGTGTAATACAGATACGCGTTCGGAGCCGAACAATCCGGTTCCGGTGACGACGTCGGCTCTTCCGGTTGATCGTCGTAGTATTCGGGCGTGACCGTGTCCGTGACCGTCGACTGGGTCCTTCCACCCGTTGTGTACGGCAACCGTGTGGTACTAACCGGTCTACCACTACCGTCGTCACCGTTGACTGCGGCGGCGGCAGCCACGGCTAGTACGGTCACTACGTCCTCATCTTCGGTTTCCGGCGGAGTCGAGGCCGTTACCGGATTATCAGTCTCCGTCACGTCAGCCGCGGTAGTGGTAACCACGGGTGACGAAAACGAAGACGAGGGTAAGGAGCTAACAGTCGTCTTGAAGGTCTGCGGCGAGTCTTCCGTCCCGGCGATCGTCGTTTTACTACTGTCGACGTACCTGTGGGCACAAAGATAGATGATGGAATTAAGACGTGCTGCACAATGCACATGTATGACAGGTGTGATACTATAGTGTACGCGGTCGAAGACTAAAGTGTTAAAATGTCGGCAGTGCCTAAACTTAGGAAACTTAAGGTTAAGGGCAACACAGATTTAATGGTTAAATATCGTGTGCAAGAGTGTCCCTTTTAACCACTTGGTTATTATTGGGTCACGGACAACATTGCGCTATATAAAATATATCAAAACAGAATAAAACAACTATTGAAATTGATGACAAGTAAGGATAGTAAGTCAACGTGATAGTATTTGTTTTCTGAATCATATCTGTGATGATTGAAGTCAAAGTTTGTTTAGAAACACATATGATGCAAAAATACATAACAAATAATATATAATATACACAACTATACCTATTATTTATAAATTATATTAATACAATTTATTATACCCTAAGATAATATAAAATTTAGAGTACTATACTTTAACTTGATCACGCCAAGGATGACGGAAACACTACAATGATATTTATACGCATCTTCTCTTGCAGACCATCTTTTTTCTTTTAAACTATTGTCACCTAGGCCATTGGCACATCTCCAACTAACATAATTTTAATTCGCTTAACGTGGTACCCATACTAGATACAATTATATGTGTTCAGTATTGTACAATGTACATTGTAATCTAAACGTAACAAATAAATTATCTAAGCTAATAACTCTCTATAGCTAGTTTAAAAGTCAAATAACACTATAGGCACCTAATTTTGGTATAATCAAAATTTATCTAAGCGTATAAGGTGCTCCGTGGCCATAGTGTTTTTTTAATTTTCCAGTATACCTAGCACAGCATGGAAAACACGTTGGTGCACCCTGTATAATATATGTACGAAAACTAGTTTTAAAGACCACATTGAAGATTTTAAAATTGCAAATACATATGCATTGCCACAATATGTGACACAATTCTGCAAGTTTTTAACATACAGATATGTAAATATTATGCTAAACGCGTATATTTTTTAAGCGTTAAGCTGCTCGTTAACGCGACAGTTTCAACTGTATTGATACTAAAACGAGAGAAATTAAAATTAAAATGTTTCTACATGCGTTTAAATCATTAAATTGTTTTCGACGTTTAGTTTTAATTGAATAATAAAGAAGGATTTATAAGTTTCGTTTTCTATTTATATCAGCGTGGGATTATAAAACGTTTTACAAGCGCGAGAACGTGAATCATTTACATTTTTTTCACTGGGTATTTATATGGCTGTGATTGGATTGAGTTGCTGAAAAAAACATTAGGCATATTCGCTTTCACAGAAAAAAAATAGTTTCGAGATTTGCTAGCAATTTTGAGTATTTGCGTGCGGAACGCATAAAACGTGATAAAAAAAATCAACCGGACGCTCGATCCGAACATACTAATATAATTAGTTAGGCTACCTACATTTTTTCATTAATTAGTCGTTTTTATCAAATATAAAAGAATGGGTCTAGAATAGTAAAAAACGCACGTTCGAAAACTCAAAAACTATTCAAAACTAATTGAAAAATGCGAAGAAAAATATGAATATAACAGCGGTCAGCAATATAATCGATGTTTGTCACGTCTATACAATAGCATGTTGTACATACACCACGATTAAAGATTGTATCTATAATCGTGACCTACACTAACTCGACTTGAGTGATTTTTGATTTATTCACCACGGTGATAATTGTTATAAAATACAAACATTATAGGTAGTCGTGTCGTAATTCATTTTTGTACATACTCTAATGGTTAGGTTAGGTTTAAAAAATCACCTACAATCAAATGTCTCATGTGCATAAGTAGGGAGGGAGGCATTAGGTAGGCTTAGCTCTCTCAGGGCCATCTCAAACGACTCAAACCCTCCCAGCTATGCAAGTTTTTACTTTATTTTAAATTTGAATGTTGATGTATAAACCTCTAGTCCATATACTTTAGATATAATTACTATATAAATTTATTTAATTTGATTTCGTTGATTGTAATTGGTTATTTTTTTTGTCACTATTGTTTTATTAGTAGGTATGATTTCAATTCCTTTCACACAGAAATAAAATACTATTTTTATAAATCTGTGATATACCACTCGATGACATCGACTAAGCTAGAAACTGTGAGTCAGGATTGGCGGTTTATACAAGAAGCAGGTGTATTTTATAATAGGTAATAGATATTTTTGTTATTTTAACAAAATGTTGTCAATGTTTTGATACTGGTTTCGTTAGATTTCTTAGACCATGGGCCAATAATTTCTAGATCCAGATAGTTCGATAAAGAATTAAGTAGTCATTGGATTCCTAGCAGATGTGAAACGTTAAAATAATTTTGTATAGAAAATATGCATGAAAACTGAAAGGACAGTTTATTGAAGGAAATGAAAATAAACATGGTATAATCTAAAACAAAATATTCAGATATAAAAAAAAAATGTTTTTGTTTTAAGTGCGCGTTAGATGAGGTTAAGCGCGCGTTGCGAGCGTCGCCACGCCAACAGTTGGTCTGATATTTAGGCATATAATTTTGGATCTACACAGAGACAAAGAACATAAAGAAAAATGAAAATCAGCATTGAAGTTAAATATTTTTGGTTATTCATTTATTTTTCCTCCACCTAACCTAACCTATTGCTGACCTCTGCTTTCGGGGACCCGTAAATAGATATACATAATAGTTCGTACATCACAGACATTGAACTATCTAATATTAAAAACAACTAAAAAGTGACAGCCACTCCTGCAGGAACGTGGCACAAGATAGATTTACAGATTTATACCGCAGAAACGTAGGTTATTACAATAGAAAACTGCAGTTTAACTTACTTTGTTTTCGCGTACGTCACGGTGGTAGTCGAGTCGTAAGAAGGCGGAGTGACAGTGGTGACGTCCTCGGCGTGCGTCGTTTGATAGCGGTTACGGTACGGTCGTGGTCTAGTGGTATCCGCCGTATCCGTCGTGACAGCGGTCGCGGTAACAGTCGCGGCAGTGCGGTCGTCCAGATCGTCGTCGACTGTGGTCGTAACGGGGTGGTCGGTAATGGCGGTGTCGCCGTCTTTGTCTTCCACGACGGTCGTGGAGGCAGCTGCGACGGTAGTAGTTGAAGTAGTAGTTGGATTGGTTGTCGTGGTTGTAGTGCCGGTAGTGAGTTCGTCCAAGGAGTCCATCGTCTGGTTGTACGACGAGTCCACGTCACCGACCATGCCGCCGCCCAACGGTATGTTCAGTTGGAACGGTCCGGGACTATCGGTCTTCTGCGATGGTGAGTCGGTGGTCGTGGTGGTGGCCGGCTGGTACGCCGAGGCGCCCGGCAACATAGGGAATCCCCCTCCGCCTGTACCAGATCCGTACATGGAGTTCAGCTGCTTGATCAGAAAGTCCCACTGGGCCGCCTGGTTGATCTTGACCACCTTGACGCACCGGCCCATGCTGTCGGGTCGGTAACCGTCCGAACACTTGTTGAACGATGGGGCGACGAACACCGACTTTGGCGTGATCCGCCGACCGGCCGCGCCGCCACCGACGCCGCCGCCAGCGGTGCCCACGCCGCCGGTGGCCAGCGGCTCGTCCCTAGACGGCGGCACCAGCTGTTCCTCGATGATGACCCAGCTGCGGACGTACTCGTCCTCGCCCTTCTCGAGGTCCGCGGACGCCCAGCGGGACAGCAACAGCAACAGCAGGGCGCTCAGACGCAACGATCCGGTCATTCCTCCTAACCTAACCGACCGGACGTCGTCTCTGCAATTCCTCCATATAACCACGGACGCCTGTGGATGAAAAAAAAAAATACTATTAAAAATTCGTATTTTACATTTTTGATACAAGCGAATAGGCAGGTTAAGCACACTTCAGTATAATCGCGTGAAAATGGACAGGTACGAGTATCACCAGGTTGACCAAGATGGTACACTCAAGTCAGCCCGCGAACTCGGAGACAATAGACAAAAATAATAATTTCCAAAATGTAAAGTGTAAGTGACGGGGCTAGTCCATCGAAATTTATCAAAACATAAATAAATAAATAATTTGAATACAATTCAAAACACAATTCGAAAATCTAAAGGTACTTTATCGATTAAATCGGGTTCAGATAAAGGGTAGAACTTATAAAATGGTATAAAAATGTGAAAAAAAGAATACAATGACTCCCAAAAATCAGATTAAATTATAATATTCTTGAAATATTGTGAATAACGATACTTGCAATTATAAATTTACTCAAAATCCGATGAAAACGAATTGCTCCCTACACCGTATATTATTGATGTCATCGCCACTGAATTTAGTTTTTATTGTGTCGTGGATCTATTTGTTTACATAGATAATATTATACCATAATAAGCATTGTTAAAAAATGAACGATTTTTTTTTATCGTTTGCTTTTACAAATGTTCTACCATCGTAACTGAAGCGAATAATTATTATTTTTTAAATCTTTATACGTAATAATAATACAATAATTATTACTGAACTACAAACAGCCGAGTGATTCCAATACAATTATCCAATGGACCGACCAAGTCTTATTAATTTATAAGGCAAATGCATAATATAATGAGGTACAATAACTGTATATAGGTAGTAGGTACTTCGCTATAAAGAATTAGAAAAAACGTTAAAAATCATCTATTGATTTTATTTCGTTTTCTCCATCACTTATCATAATATACAATAAGACATGTAGCGAGATGTAATAGTTTACATATATCGTTCTGTTTACAGAGAACTCGACGAGCATCCGAAGCAAACATTTTCGGTAAAAACGATTATTGTTATAATATTATTATTATTGAGCACCCAGCGGCGTACGGTGTTGTTGACACGATTTCTCGTACATCATCTCCAAGAGAAATCAAGGAATAAAATAATAAAAATCACCTTAAACGGGAGGAGACCGGAAGGTCAAGCGAGCACAGCCACCGGGTGCAACATATATATCACTATATACAATACAAATATACATTATAACGTTTTCAAGGACACGTCGCCTTATCTCGCTGACGCGTACCTACTTATCCAAGATATATATAAATAAATACAAGTATGGGTATGATACGGACTTATAGGTATATCGTACACATAGTATTGTTCAACACGCCCTTAAAACACGATTTTAACGAGGAGATAGCTGTTGCAGTATAATACACCGACGACGAAAAAGGTTATTCGGTTGTGCACGCACATACTTACATACTTTAGGTAGGTATATATACACATCTGTCGTAGGAGTCACCTACCCATATAATATTATAATACTACACCTTTAATACGGCTGTTATACGCATGGCGGGCTTATTATTATGTAATTTCGCGAGGTCGGAGTTTGAAACGGAATTCACAGACCCTGAACGTCATTTTACTCGACAATAGTGTCGCCGTCACCCAGAGAAGACGAGTGGCTGGCCGGTTGCTTTCCAAAGGAAAATATTTTTTATATGACGGGCCTATCTGCAGCTAACAGACCTCTCGAAAAACCCATCAAAAAGCCAATACCACAGAAACTCCAGCAGCAAATTTTTTTACGTGAATTTAACTGTTTATATATTTCCAAACGAAGTTATATGCAAATATCGACACCCATAATAGAATACATAAATACCTATAAACATTGTCCCTTGAAATAAACATCACCCAACTGTTGTAGTAATTGACCCACAACTGCAAATTATTATTCACATTCAAATTTCAAATATATAATATCTAATGTACATAATTAATTATTATACATAAATATACCTATACAGTATAGTATATAAAATAGTTGAATCACATCTATTGTAATACTGCAATGTTAGCGCATTTTCAACGGATAAAAAACAACAGTTCTTATCGTCTGTGTATGTATCAAATAATCACCAACACAAAATTTTAAATGAGTTTGTTTTCAAAAATTATAAATGTACACTGAGTTTAATATACATAATATATACTTGTAGTATATAAAGACTTTATTTAGGGGGATTTGGTAAAGTCTCTGCAGGTATCTATGTCTATTTAAGCTCTTATCATCCCTATTGAGCAGAAGCCTTTAAGTTATAAGTTGTAGCCTATAAATTACTGCAGTAATACATTGCAGAAATTTACCGAAAAGTCCGATTTTCTGATATATATCGGCTATATGAGCCCCGGTTGGGCGTCTGTATATTCGAATATAATATTAAAGGCGATTTAAATGTGAAATTAAAAAAAAATTGTTTTAATTAAGTAGGTATAATATAGGTATATACTGTTTTTAATCCTTTCGATTACTACGCATTCACGACAAAACTCGCAGCCGGATCCCGGTCCCAAGTATGTATATCTATACGTTTCTTTTTCATCTATTCTATGGACTGTATACTTATAAGATTAAATCTCACCTCTTGCAGCACTATAAATCACGTTTAATCCGGACACCGGAGCGAAAAACTCACTGAACGCTACCGCGCACACGCAGGCACAACACAGTTTTCGCACTCCCATTAAACTAAGTATTTTAAGTACGCAATATAATATTTTTCCGTTGTATAATCTTCCGATGTGCATTAAACACTGGTCTCGTTCTAATAAAAACTATTATTATATTATCGTCGAATAATCAGCACAGATGCGTCTGCGATAAAAACAATAACTGCAGCAATTGCACCTCAAACGTATAGAGCATGCGAGGAGAAAACGTTTGTACGCATGAATTATCTTCGTTACATTATCGCGGCTGACGAACGATTGGGGTAACGTGATGGAAACGAATAAATCGAGAACACCTTTGCGGTACGGCCGGAAATTATTTATTTATTTGCTCCAAGGAAAAACAATCGATCCGAGGGCTTATCGCGCATCACAGGACTAGGAAAAAATCGTCTCCGATAACAACGACGTCCGGATAACATTTGACCGCACGCGCGGAATAATCGCTCGTACGTCAATCGCAATACACTCCATCGTTATACATATACATAACATGTAGGTATACCATATTGCATATATAAGTATTATAGACGTGTACAGTAGATCCGTGTAAATATAATAAGACGGACCGTATCGACTATCGATAACACTCGCAACAGACCGTTGTGCAATAGATTGATTTTGATTTTTACTCTTTTTACACAGTCCGGGATATGACCTACATAATAATAATATTATTATTACATTATTATTTGATGTCGTCGCCGTCCGTAGATTAGGTTAGTGCAGGAAAGAAAACTGTATAACTTTAATCTGCACGAATACACAAGTGCGCCTCCTTTGCGTCATTTTCATAAATTCAAAATTGTCTACTATCAATGCTTCTAGTTTAACGGTATGGTTAGGAGTGAGTATACCTATAACCTATATTATCGAACTCAGCGTTCTTAAGTTGATGTTTTTACGATATTTAAATTATCTATTCGAGGTATGAGCGTAGTATAATTCACTTAAAAATTGAATATCATAAAAAAAAATACCGACATTTAGATCATATCCTTACCTGAAAGTTTGACAATTGAGATCAAAATTAATTTAATTTTAAAGTCAGTCACACGATATTTGGTTTTACACTGAACTCAAAGTGTACTATGTTAAACATTTGCTGTAAGACGGGGGTAACACTGAACACATGATGGTGTAACGTCCCAAAACATGAAAATCACACCTTAGAAAATGGCAACACGATAACATATAATAGTGTAATAGTGTACAACAACTTGGTTGAAAAGATTTCCCAAGAACATAATATAAACAGAGCCGACCATCACCGTACGATTTTTTGAATTTTTTTTATAAAAGGACACTGATTTCAAAGTAACGTGAAATAATGGTGGAATAAAATCAATTGAATCTAACAATAAATCAGTTATATTGTTATAGTATCTTTAATAATTTAACCATCGAAAAAAAGCCTCGGTTTAGAGTATAATAGATTAACACAACACTTCCTAAGTAATTCGTATAATAGGTCACGGTTAACCGAATTCGTCGGTTCGGATATGAAAATATGAGAAATGCAAAAGAGCGATTTCGCTGTGTAGTTAATACAGCCAGGTACCTACGTGTTTGACAGCGACAACATAATATTATTATGTTTTGCTGACATCCTCCCAATAATAATTAAAACACGCGATCCGCCGGCGGTCACGCTCGTCTCGGCCCGAAGTAATAATAATTAATAAATAATAAATAATAATAGTGCACGCCCGGGTCGACGTGTGGACGAATACGAATCGGAAAGAAAGAAAGAAATACCCATTGCTCACACGCGTGACTCGCGTCCGGGTGTTATGTCAACGGACTGCGCTCAGGGGTCCGCGCACAACTGCCGGCCAAGTGCACACACAATATTATTATATCATGGCGGCTGTAAAATAATGCGCGATAGTGATAATATAAACTACGATCATGTGTACTAAGGAATGGCCATGAGAATTCCACGTCCGCCGCCGCCAATTCCATAATGACATTACGCAAGTCTGCAACGTCCTTTTGAATTTCTCTCTCTAGATCCGTCCCCGCGGGTCCGTCTCTCCCGGCTGACCGAGAAAGGACCCATCATCATCATTATTCGATACGGATACACCCAGATCCATAATACCAGTGCATAGGGTGCTTATTTTTTTTTTTTCTAATAATTTCTATTTTAGATTTGAAAGTAGGTACGTTCGATTTCCGTTTGTTCACAAACATTCAATAATTGGTAATTACCTAAGCAGAGTATCTACCCATGTCCCATATATATATATATATATATATGACGAACGGAGTGATGACCACATAGTGGTGTGCCAAAAACATGTGTGGTGTCCCCGCC